AAAACTCGTGAGGATTACAATTGAGATGGAAAAAAAATGTACAAAATGATGTAAAAAAAAAAGTATCAGCTGGGGGACTTCAAGTGAGAACGGAATTTAATCATAATATCACCTCTTGCTACCTCCACCATCCCTGGTGAGTATCAGCACAGTTCAGATGCTTGACTGGACAAACCCCTTGCCCGCAGGAGCACAGCTGCTGAGTGAGTGAGCCGGAAGCTGAACCCCAACTCTGTGAAACCCATCAAAGCCATCCACTCTGCTATTGGGGTTTCTCCATCAGGAGCCCTTCCCAGTGTATGTCTTAGTCTGCCGGGCAGTGAAGTTGAGGTCTCTTCTTGACGTGAAAGTTTCACGATACTGTACATTCCCAGCAACATTATTTGACAGCGGGATTATGACCTGTGAACAAGTGTCAGGTTACCTCTTCTGTGCATTTCCCCAGTGAGTCCACATCTAAAAAGCAGCCGTACTGCAGGTGCAGGACATGTCTCGCCTCCTCTTTGTCTTCATTTTTAATTCTTGAGCTCCCTGTGTCTTTTGAAGAGCAAAGCATCTGTGCGGGACAGAAAACGCAATGGAGAAACCCTCAGCCGCCATCAGTCAGGGGACTGGCTGTGAGCTTATTACACAGAGGTGCGCAGGCAACAGCCCTCTGCTTGCAAAGTCATGAAAAAGCCTGGACTCCCCCCAGGTGGAAAAGCCTGGGCTTCCCCCCAGGTGGAAAAGCCTGGGCTCCCCCCAGGTGAATTTGGGGCACTTACCTTGGCTCATGCATTCGCTTATTCATCTCTGATGTGTCGGTTCCCCTACTGGGGTTTATGCAACTTCTCCCAACACTTTTTGTCCTTCATGCCCCTCTTTAATTACAGGGTCAGTGGCTTTGGACAAGGTCACTCACCCCGCCCCCAAGCCAAAGAATTTCAAGCCCCAGGGGAACAGATGGCCTGTGGCATGGGGGCTTCTTGCCAGACTCTTGAGATCTCTCAATCATCATGTGCTGTCGCTATTTCTGGCCCACAGGCCAAAGGCGCGGCCGCTGGCGACCCCCCGGGGCCCGCCTGTGCCAGGAAGCAGCAGAAGCAACCCTACCTTCTGCAACTGCACGGAGGCAGCCCCTTGGGCCCCGAGGAGAAGCATGCCAACGGCAGTTGACATACCGACGGGAGAAAAGAAGATGTTGCCGTCCTTTGTTTTATTCAGCTCTTTGAAGAGGTCAAAGCCAAACTGAGTGTACGCTGAGCCCGGCGAGTCCATGGCGAGTCCGGCGAGTCCTGAAACAGCAGCAGCTCAAACTGACAGCCCTTTCCCTGAGTGGAATAACTCTGTGTCACGGGAACTCTTCCCCCTTCCCTTTCACTTCCCACGTTGTGCAGAAAATGGGCATTTTGGCCCCTGTGTGAAAGGTCACGCTCGCCTGTCCTTGCCCCCTGCCCTTGCCAGCCACCTGGCAGCTTGCAGTAAATCTCAGCTTTCACACCTCCAGAGAGCAGGGCTACGGCCTCAGATGGTTTGATCCTCTCTCGGTCTCTGTCAGAACCTGCCTGCATCCGCTGCTGATGCCGCCTCCCATGCACAGACAGGCCCAGCTCTGGCCGCCCAGCCGCTGGGCCCGTGACCAGGCAAGAGGTGGGCGAGGGGTCCCCAGTGCCCTCGAGTCCACCCAAGGTCCTGCCCTCCAGACTTAACAACATCAGTGTGTTCTCTAACAGTTTCTATTTCTTAGTCCAAATCTAGTGCACAGTGTGGCAGGATAGGTTAATTCTCTCCTTTTAAGCCAGTGCATCTTTAAGTGAACGAAAGCTTGATGCTGGGCTAAGTTTTTCCTAAAGGGCAGTGATGTTTCCAACCCTCGATTATCAAGCACAAGAAGAAAGGGTTTCTTTTTCCTTGATTTTCTATAGTATTTCAGGGTACAGTGGGTTCCTACGACTTTTGTTACCTCACAGAGAAGTTAATGTCTCCAGAGCAAGTCATATTCATCAAAACTAAACCAATAAAGCACTTTAGATGTTTTTTTTTAATCTCCATCCATGTTATAGCTAATCAATAAAGCCTTCAAGAAAATGTCCTTAAAGAATTAAATGAATGCAGATTAGACCCTTTTTGAAAGGGTTTTTACTATCAGAGGTGCAACCGAGCTAAGACCTCTCACGTTTAATTTGAACAGTTTTGCTTCCATGTCAGCCCTGTGTTTCCTTGAAGTTCCTTGCAGGTTAATTCAGATATAAAATTAATGAATTCACTGTCACACAAGATGAAGAAGATATTATCATGCTGTATAAGCACTAAATAACATGAAACCGCCCCCAGGAAAGTGATGCAAAGAGCGGATATTTCTCTCAATCTACAAATATCAGTGTTCTCAGCACACAGAAGTCTTAAGCTGGAACTGAAGGAAGGACTTACCTGTATTTTGGAGAGACAGAGGTGTCTGCGCAGGGAACCAGAGAGCAGGTGTAAAACGAGGAGCTGAGATCTTTAATTTATAGCTTCTGTCTGCCTCTCCCTAGTCATTATAGTTTGCATTTCCGGTGAAACAACTTTTGGTTTCTCAATAACGATTTCTCTAATAAAATTAACACGTGAGGTTGATGGAAAAACGAGGGTTGAATTTCCTATTTCTTTCCTGCATGTCCACGAAGCTATGCACTGAAGTTGTGAGCAATTGTGTTGTGAACAAAAGCTCAAGGAGCACAGAGGACTGTTTAAATTCCATCTTCTATGAAGTCCCTGCAAAATTCCTTTGCACGCAACATAAGATCTAAATGAACCAGAAAACAGAGTAAGACCCAGGACCTGCGAATAGCCAAGTTAGATAAATTATGACCCAACGGGGGAGACAATGGAGGACCTTCTGGAAAGAATAGTCTAGAACACTGGTGTCCCCCTGGTGTACGGCCCCACATGAAAATCTTCTGGGGAACTTTAAAAATATCTATCTGTGTCTCAGCCTCACCCCCAGACATGAGCCAGCATGCCTGGGGTGGAAGGCAGACATCAGAATTTTTATCACCCCAGGTGATTATGATGTACAGCCAAGGTTGGAAATCCTGGTTTATGGTAGTGATGAAGAGCTGTGTGAGTGCCCACTTCAGTCACGGCAGACGTAAGAGCTGTGTCCTGACAAGACTAGCCTTGGGTAAACTTAAATTTGCAGTTACGTTATTTGGGACTGTCAGAGACAAAAAAGAAAAAGGTAAGAAAACCTTAGCGAGAAGAGTTTGGGTGCACAGCTAGACACAACCTCTATACTTGCTCCCAAGTATTTTGGACACTCATTATGAAATCTCTCATTTTAATTCATTTAATAAACATTAGCTGAGTGTCTACTATGTTCCAGACACTGGGCTAAGCGCCAATAATTCATTAACATCCAACAAGCTCATAGATTTCAGGAAAACAACACTATTAACAAAATTGAACAGAATGACAGCTCCAAATTCCAGTTTTTCCTGCCACCCCTGAGGCATCCCTGCCGGCTGTACTAGTTCATCACAAGAGACAGCGTTTGGATTAATCTTAACTCTGTCTTTTATGTACAGGGCGTGAAGATTCTTCCTTGTTGCCAAGCAGCAAATCCTAGAAGTGCAGCCTAGCTTGACATGGACTGTCTGCTGAAGAGCACTTGAGCAACAGAGCACCTAAGGAGGGAAGGTGTGCACCAACCTCAGCACCTACGGTGTGCTCGTTAATATTTTGATTGGAGCTCTGTAAGCAAACTCAGCCATAGCTGACATTGCTTTCCATTGTCTGCCATAGAGACACATGACAAAATGAGTGAGGGTTGAAAAGAATTGGCACTTACTGGTAGAGTTCATCCTGGATGCCAATGAAATAAAAACATTCATTTTTTAAAATGGCAGGAGGGGCCCTCCCTGGTGGCGCAGCGGGTTAAAGCGCAGCACTAAGAAGCTGAAGCCACTTCAGCATGAGTTCGATCCCCACCCCGGAGGTGACCACATGGCGTGGCAGACCTCTCCTGTCTCCCCACTGCTCCCCTCAGCAGTGTACTTCGTCGATCTGCCTGTTCTGCTCCCCACTCTGTGTCTGGTGAATCCCCTCACCACGCCTGCACGTCTGGCCTATCGCCCAGTGTATGCATAAATAAATAAATCTTTTTAAAAAAAAAAATGGTTTGAGGGCCCTCCCCAGTGGCCAGGGGTTAGTCTCAGCACTATCATGGCTATGGCCATGGAACTGACCCACAGGGCTCAGCAGACTCTCCTGTCCCGCCCACTCTCCCCTCAGCAGTGTTTTCAAGTAGATCCTGTTCTGCTCCTCACTCTGTCTCTGGTGAATCCTCATACCCCCACACCTTTGACCTACACCCCAGTTATTTGAGTTAAAAAAAAAATTAATGGTTTGAAATCTTGGCATTGGCGATAGTGTTTGATAGTTTAATGTCCCTAAAAGTTTGTCTTCTTTTTCCCTTCTCTGTGACCCACAGGCCCCTGGTTCTATTGTCCAGCCACTTTCATCCGCCTCTGTATTTTATCACAGGAAAACTTGGCTTCCTCTGAGAAACCCACCACATGCCACAAAGAATTTCTGAGGACACCCATTCAAATCTTGAGCTCAGAAAGGGAGGTCCCCACCCCTAGCTCTCCTATATTAGCTTCTTTCAAGGCTTCCTTTCTTCAAGCACCTTCCATGTTCCCTCTTGGGCATTTACACTGTTTCACAGTGACCCCCCTTTTCCCGCCCTAGGCCCAGGTGTGTAGGTAGCACCGGGCCTTCCTGCCCACTCTGTCCATCATCATAGCCACGTCAGTGGTATCGCTCATGACTGACGCTCGTCCTCCCTCCCCCAGGAGCCCACACGCCTGGTCTTGCATTGGGCATCGGCACCCCCAGCGGCTGCTCCTGCTGTCAAGGGCTGGACACCAAAGTTCCTCCTTCAGTGACAGTTTCTCATCCTTGTTTTCGGTAAGCCTGTGGTTCCACTGGACTACAACCTCCCTATCACTCCATTTTATGTATCAAACCTGTCCCAAAGGTAGAGTCTAGGTTGGTGATTAGGAGCCATGAAATTGACTCCTATGCTTGTGGGTAAAGAGAGAAAACAATTAAGCTCTGAACTAGAATCCTAATGGGTTCCCACCCCATCCCACATTCTGGCACAGCCTCCACATGCCTGTTACTGCTACTGGCTCGTAACATTTTTATTCTCCAAGCCTATAAAGTTGCAATCGGTGTTATTGGGCTCCTAACCAGATTTCCTTATTAATCACTTCTCCTAGCATCGAGGGCTGTTGGGGTGGACAATTCACAGGCTGCCTTGTCTCAGTGGACCAACTCTCAGCTAAATGGGTGCCAGCAGCCCCAGGAGACAGGTAGCACCCCACCTCTGTCCAGGCTCCCCTCATGATGATGACTCACTAGCAAGAAGAGGATAAAAGGTCAGGATGGCCCCCTTGTATCAAAATAAGATTGCCTCTGTCATAAAATGTGTCACAAGAGTTCTCCCATAGCATAAAATGATAAACTCCAGCTGGGGTCACATCATTCACAATTTTCCTTTACCCTATCCTGTTTCTCTCTTTCTCAAAAAAAAAAAAATACAAAAAAATGCCCTCTCCTCTGCACACCTACCCTACAAAATGTTATCAGAAGATGAACACCTGTCCTTGGCTTTTTTTCTAGGGTATTGGGCCTAAGACAAACATGTTTTAATATGTATTTTAAGCTTTCTCGTGGTTTTGCTTTCCAAAAATTCCTTGGCCATTCATTCTTGTATATATTCCAGTTCAGATAAATTCTTGAATCCATTTATCCAAGCCTACACTAAATTATGCAGGGATTTGCATTGAGACTCTTTAGATTCAAAACATTTTTAAAGCATTAAACTTAAAACAATTTTAAAAACAGTAGTAAGTAGTTATTATTGGTGTAAGTAAAAATATTTTTTTCTCGGGCTATCTTGCTAATCATCTTAAAGAACTTTCTAATTTGGAAAATTGTGAACTTTTGTTTAGATGCCTATGGGTTTCTTGCAAGATGATTGTAAAATTCCTGAATAATAACCTAGCCTCTTTGTTCCAACACTTATTCTTCTGGTGGAAATGCCCTCTTAATTTCAAATATCTGTGCACATAATTCAGATAAACAGGCATAACGCCAAGGCCCTATTTGCTATTCTAAAAGTTGTACTTAACTTTACAGCAGAAGAGGGTATTTGTACACCAAAACACATCACCTTCCTATTGTTACTCACTGTTTTTAATCCAAAACAACTTCAGGTTTCAGTAAAAACA